TTGGAACAGTTTTTTAAAATTATGCATTCTCATAGCCTTTAGACTCTCCAAAAATTTACAATACTAATACAAGTGCCTTTTACTAGTCACTTACAATTTGACTTATTTTAACATTGGTTCAAACTTCAGAAGCTCCAAGCCAGTGTAAGCATATTCACCTGCCTTTTGCCGTGCATACTTTGAAATCCTCTACATGTCCATTACCAATGTAGGGAGAATGGGGGAATAACTGGTAATGGATATGGGATTCCTTTTGGGGGAAATAAACATTCTAAAATTAGATTACGGTGATGGTTGCACAACTTGGTAAATGTACTAAAAACCACTGACTTTTAAACAGGTGAACTTTATGGTATATAAATTATGTGTCATAACTGTTTAAAACATAACAAAAGCTTCTCTTCATTTTTTGTCCTTCTGGACCTTTATGCAGAATTAAATACTGATGCCTAGTCACTGCTTTGAGGAGTCTTTGCTTCTTTGTCATTTTTGGCACTGTTCTATTTTGGTTCTCCTTTTACCTTACTCATTGTAAGGAGCAATTGCTTTCTTCTTTAGTCAATTCATCAATCCTTTCCTCTTCTGCAAAATGTTAAATATTGGAATTTCCCAGTTTTCATTCACACTTTTTGCCAATCCTGTCAACATGGTTTTCTCTGGATCTAGCACACTACCTAGCTTATAATAACTCTCAGTAAGTTTTTGTTAGATGAACATCTAAATTCACTGACTCCCAAGGCTGATAAATTTCCCATTTTGCTGTATCTAGCCAGGCTGCTTTTTTGAGTTCTCAAGTTATATTGTTTACTTATTAGACATACCTGCCTAGACATTAGGTATTCAGGACATGATTTTTCTTCCAAATCACACCTGTTTAACCTGTATCATTTCAGTTAAGTAGCGTCTTTATCCCCTCACTGCCCCTTTGTCACAAATCTCAATTTTATTCTCATTATCTCCTTTTCCTCACCTCCCATACTGAATGCCTCAGCAAATTTTATCTATTGCACTTCAAATATGTCTCTCAAATCGTAGCCTCTAGGCTCCAAACCCTCTGCCTTGTTTTATATTGCTGTCATGTAACATATAAGGCTGATCATATTAATCCTGTATTATTAAGAAAGATTGATTGTCTTCTCTGTTGACTATAAGATGTAAAAGTAACGACTTTAGGGAAGTCTTGGTTCTAAACCTATGTTTCTTACCTTAGCTTTGGCTACGGTAAGGCTAAGGCTGCTTTGAAATGATCTTTCGTGTTACCCGAACTTCTTTAGATAACATTGCCTTTTTATGTCTCCATGCCTTTGTTCATGCTCTTTTTTTCTGCTTGTAATGTCTTTTCCCTTTTGCCCAGCAGTTTCCTGTGTATCATTTAAGTTTCTTTTACAAAGTCATTTTGTTCATTCTTTAATTGATTATTTACTAAGGTGCCAGCTTTGTTCTGATTACTGTGCTTGGTCAGTGAATTAGACACAAACCCTTGTCCTCATGGAACTTACAAAATAGATCCTCATTGAAACCTTAATGAAATCCTCTATCTTTCCAGGCAGGGTTAATTAGTTCTTTGATCATAGCTATAATAATATCAAATAAGAGTTTCTAGAGGCAATGTCATGTGAACAGCTTAGCTCATTGGCTTTGAAGTCCGTAGACTTACTATTTACTACTGATAGGTAAGACTTCATGTCTTCATCTTTAAAATGAAAATAACAGTATTTAATCAGGGCCTGGTTGTTGTGAATCTTGTTGATAATGTATATAAAAGAGTCTGATGTCTAGCACAGAGTAGTCTGATGCAATAAATGCTGTTATTAAAGTTCTTTTTGACATTTAATAATTTCCTTATCCTGATTATAACATAAAAAAATTTAGGCTGAGCCCAGCATAATTCATTTGTATGTATGAAGATCTGGTACATAGTTGGCACTCACCAATGTTTGGTGAATTTTTTAAATTAGATTTTTGGGGAAAATAGATCAGATTTGTATAAGTAGTGTGGTACTGAGGTGAGTGTTAGGGCTTTTACTATCCAACAACATAATTTATTTTAAGTTTTTTCAGCTGTCTTTTGTTAGAGTTTTAACTGGTAGTATAATTAACACTAGATTTTGATTTTTCTCATAACTTTGCTTACTGGTGGAAATGCTGAGTGAATAAAAAAATGGGTAACAGGCTAACAGCATCTAGGAAAAGCTTAAGATTATTTATTGAATAATTGACTTAGTTNGACTCTATCTTCTGAGTAAAATACTTTCATTTTCTTTTTGAATTACTTTTAAGACTTCACCCTGATATGAGAAGTGTAAAATGAAACCATAAGGTATTTAAACAACATCTACTTCTCTGTGACTTTTTTTTTTCTTTTTCTACTTGGATTGATAACTTTATACAATTTAGAAATCATAGTTCCTCTTTTAACATGTAATTTTTTTTTTCAGGTAAAGTTGCATTTTTTTCAGAAGGTAGTAAAGTATGGGCTATTCTTAGTGTTAATCTCCACCATGATCACTTTATTGATTTTAGTGAATTTTAAGTAGATACTTAACTACCTTTTGATTTAAATTGCTGGCTTGGGATATATACCATATTTGCTGTGAATTTACCACATAATTGAAGTAAAGAGTTATTTGAACACTTCTATGATCAGAGAAAGTTCTGTAGAAGACTAGAAGTTTACTCCACATTTTGCAATAAAACTAATAAGCTAAATAAGACGTAACAAAAGAAGCTAGATAATCAGTATAGCTTACTGATGTTTGAGAAGCATGGGACTGAAAAGATTAGTCTGTTATTTTTCTTTTTCTTATTTTTTCTTTTGGTCTTTTTTTTTAAAAAAAAACAACTTAGGGGTATATAGCTTTTAACTTTTATCTTTGTAAAAATTTTGTCACTCTCCCAAATATTAGGAGTTGAAAGGGAAGAATCACAACTCAGACAACTTCATTTTTCTATTTCCTGGTGAAAACAAGGTGGATGGAATCTCATGAACCCCTTGCAACATTTCTACCTTCATTTAGATTTCTGTTAGCTTGCATAATCCTCATTTACTAAAAACTGACTTTTTCTGTGGGAAGATCATTTTGGGGATAGATGAGATATTCAGACAGACACTGGTGTAAATAATATGAGAATAGGGCCTTTGTTTGCCTTCCCCTTCACGCCCCATGCTGTAGTCCTAGCCCAGCACATAGAACAAAATGAAGGATTTAGAGTAATGAAAAATAAACTTTGGACTATACTGATTTGCAAAAAGTGATTATATGGGTATAAGGGTAAGAATATAAACTCTCAGTGAGGAACCTTCCAACAGTGAATTTTAATGTGGTAGCATTCCAATGTGATTAAAAAGCAAGGGTTAGTGGCTATAGCAAAGAACTTGTAGAAAAAAATGGATGTGTAGCCTGTGTGGCTACTGTGTACCCCAGTTTGTGTAAAAGCTCTGACACGGACATTGCNCCTATTCCTGGCCTGAACACCCTCTCCTACAGCAGGGAAATAAATACTGTGTGACTGCTACTGAGAGCATCTGAAGGGCCTTGTTCTGGCTCCTGTCCCAAGATTAGATTTAATTCTGGGAGAGGAAGAGAGGATCCTGAGCATTTGTTTGGAGAGAGAAAAAGATAGGATGTTCTCATAGGGTGTTCATACAGCACGCAAAAAGAGCAATGCGCAACTCCTGGAGTGCCACTCATACAAATTTTAATGTGAACAGTGCTTCCTGGAGTTGTGCAATTTAGTAGCTACTTAGCAGAGCTCTGCTCTGTGACACACAGTTTTTTGAATTCTTCTTCTTATTTATTTTCACATTTGCCTTCTCCATGAGGTCAGGGACAATATCTTAATAATCCTTATATCCCAAGCATCTGGCTCAAGGTAGAGTCAATCACTGTTATTAGAAAATGCTTTAGGATTCGATTTCAATATTCATCCATTTATACATTATTAATTGGCCAATTAGCTTACCATACTTTTTCAGAGGAAAGCTGAACTTTTAAAGTCTTGTAATTGACATGTAAAAAATAATAGATTATGTATAGTTGAGCCATTCAAGTATTAGAGGAAGAATGTAGTTCGGACCTTAGTTACGATTCTCTGTTTTAATGCTTCTACCTTTTCCAACTGATCTACATTTGGCTCATTCTTACTTGTTTTACCTGATCAACTCACTAACCACAGTGGGCCTCGTAAAAGGAATAAGCAGCCTATCTTTTGATGCTTGAGTTATGTTTCCTTCTAAGATTTATTCCAAAAATCTGTGTGATCCGTTCTTGTAGAACAGAAAATACATATTCTGTATATTAAAATATTTTATGTATAAATTGTAGTGACATGTTAAAGGTGTGTATATAAACACATAAATGGGAGGGTTTTGTAAAAAGTAGATAATTATGTGATTTATAGTGAGAAAACGACAATCAAACCTCCATTGTAATTTTAATCTCAGATTTTGACATTAGGCCAAAGAATTGGTAAGAAATCATTAGAAAGTCAAAACATTTAATTGCAGTATCATCCACAACTTTTCAGAGAGACTTATATTTTTATTAGTCAAAGATTTTAGTGCTTGGAAGCTGTGTGCTGATAGGGACCTAACTACAGCATCTTTTACAGAGAAGGCTTTCTTCCCCGATCTTACAGAGTCTAGGCTCACAGCCTTAATTTGAATACTTTTGTGTGTGTGTGATCTTAGTTTTAATTATTAGTGGAAATAGTTAAAGATGAAGTTGGTGAATGTTGCATCATGTAGTATTGCTAGAATTTTTTGGATAGATACAGATATATAGAGGTATAGGTATGTAGTGATCTAGGCGTGTACCTATTTATAATGTCTCGGAATAAGCGATTTCTCATCTTACCCATGCTTGTATTTGGTCAACAGTCTGTTTCTGAATACTTGGAGTCTTTTTAATTTTTCTAGCCATACCATAGTGATAACTCCAAAAATATATAATAACTTATTTAGTTAATTCATAACCTTATAGGAAGAAAGCTGATCAGCATGGGGAGAAAGTTAGATCAGTATGCCAAATTTGCCAATTTTTAAAAATCCTATTTTCCCTAGAAGGGGCTTCTCGGGAAGGAGAGGCAATATTTCTTAAATGAGAGTGAAGTTTTTATGTGAATGATCGAATCTTCCAGTAAGTTGATAATTGAAAGTACACATTCCCCTTTCCCATACTGTTCTAAAATGACAAATTGTGCCTTTTTTTTCCCTTTTCTTTTCTTTTTTGGTGATAGAGCTTTATACTGAGAGTGCATACCAGAGGGAGTAGGGTTAGGAAAACAAAAGATTGGATTTTTAGGCCCAGGTTTGTTCCTGTATAAATGACTTTAAACATGCTAGTAATTACCCTCATCTGAAAAAATGAGTGTGACTTTTTTCTAAAGAAGCATGTATTACTCTCACCATCAGAAATTGGATGATAAATGCTATTTTTTCAGATGAGGCTAATAGCTATTCCATTATGACTAAGTTCCTTGAGGGTTTGTATCCTGTATCACCTGGAGCAGTGCTTTCATATGGAGAGACTCTCAAAAAATGTGTTGAAATCGTTGGTGTCTCAAGGTGACTTCTGTAATTCATTCTAGGTCTGAGATCTGAAATAAGTGATTTTTGCTTTGTCTTCAGATTATGTTAAATTGCTGTAACAGGAGGTAGACTACTTGTTTTAAGAAGGTAGTCTTAAGATATAGCTTAATGTAAAGATTATCATGCTGACTATAAAGTTCTTCATTATATTTGGATCATATCTAAGTATTTCTTAATATTTGGTAGAATATTTACATTTGAAGACAAGTATATAATTAGAGAAAGTGAAACGTACCTTAAATTTTTTTCTACTATGTGAACAAATTCTCAATTCCTGATGTATTGGTGCTTTAGTTTCAGCCAAATGTCATCATTTTGACAATTTTTTCCTAGCTTCAAAGAGCACAAAAATATCATAATTCTGCTTACTCCTAATTTTCATTATTATTCTTATAGATACCATCTTTGAGTTACTTGATAATTTGTGAATGAGTACATGCTTTAATAGGCATTGGATTTGACTTCACTCTTGTGCATTATACTACAATCTATTGTTACCTAATTTATTAATAATTGTATAATTGCAGCTTAATATCTCTTATAATTTTAATTATTATCAAGAAGAATGACATCATTTAATTTAACTCAAAATTCAGAAGGATGGATGAATGACAAATTAATAATTTACCACCTTTGCATAATACTGAAGCATAGACTATTAGAAGGATTGATGGCAGAAAAGGTTAACAAATTTTAGCAGCTTTCATTAGCTTTACATGGTCATATGTTTGTGGTGCTGACTGAAATAGGCTTCGTAGGAGATCTCAGTCTAGGGAACTAATTACTTGTGCCGATTGCTGCACTGATGAATAGACCCTCATTGTATCATTCCCCTGAAGACGAGGAGCAGCCTGTGATTCACGACTGCATCCTGGCTGATATTTGATAATAATTTTAACAGATAAATGTAGGTAGGCAGAATGATGAAGTGCCTATCCAAGCTCCAGGACTATCAAAGCCATACACATAACCATCTGTGTACCGCTTTTCCCCCTCTCAACCTACGGAGAATTTGATTTTATTAATTGAGTTCAGACAACTGTTGTCTTTTGCTTGTATGTAGATTCTGTAGGTATTTCTTATTTTTTTTAANTTGAAACTGGGTTTTATTGCTCTGTGATAGGTTCAAAAGAAGTAACAGGTTAATGGAAGGAAGATCAAAATGATCACAGGTACTTCATGTCTTTCTTTCAAAACTTTGACATTTGACCATGAACATTATAAATGACTGTTTTTCTTTTAGAAACTGATTTGCTTTAGAAATGATGTATGAAATAATATGTGTTTTGCATGTCCTGTTGTAATGATAAAGGTCATATAGTATCATTTACATAATCTCTAGCCAGAAATGAACTCAGTAATATCCTTGGTATAACATATACATTATTGGAGGTTTAAAACTCTCATTATTCATGAAAGTTAATTTTACAGTGGGTGTGAATGATCTATCTTATGGCTGGTTTTTTGATCATTCTATAAAATAATATGGAGCAAAGCCTGCTCAAATAATAGGAAAACCAGTAAAGAGTGATGCATTCGCCTGACTCTCTGTATACCCGATTGGATCTTGATTGATGGCAATCATTTGTCTTTGTCAAAAAAAGGAGAAAAATTCAGACATTGAAATAGGAGTGCTATCAAACTTTCTACAATGGCAGAAAGATTCTATTAATGTGGCCTTAAAGTATTAACTGTCTCTGTTGGGAAATGATAAAGAATGTTAATTTTTTTTCCTTGAGCATATTTAAGTATAAAATGCATTATTTTGTCTACTGTTGGGATTAAAAGAATACTTTTATGGCACACTAGAATTGATGAAAGCAAAAAAAATAAAACAGCTTAAAATGATGAAAAAGCAAATAGATCTTAATCCTTTTTATTATTATTTTTCTCAATGAAATGATAAAAAATTAGTGTAGTGTCATAAAATTCTTACTGCTGTATTCCATCTGATACTGGACCGTGGAAGGTTGACTTCAGAGAGGCTTAAAGTGGAAGAGGAAACATATTTTTAACTGTTTTATTCTTTAGAATTTTTCTTTTCTTTCCAAATATTAGAGCAAAAAGACATTCTAGACATGTTATTTATTATATTTTTAAAAAACTTAATTGATCTTGGTATGGTTTGGAAATGGAAAGAATGTTAGAACTGTATGTAATATATTAAAAGACAGAATTGGTAAATAGCATTTTGCAGCAAGACCAATTCTGACCTTTCATAATTTCTTGCAATAATAAATATATCTTATATATTAATATTTTGGATAGATAAATATTTTATCTGTGTTATGA